CCAACGCCTTAATTAAAAAAAAAAAAAAAAAACACAATAGAAACTTGTCTTTCCGGAAAATTATTGTAACGACATTGCTAACAGCCGTTTTGCACAAAAACGTCTCATGGTCCGTATACTTGGAGTCACTAACTTTAGCATATCTCAAATGTAATGCTAATTCAAGTGAATGTCTAAATATGTCCTTTTAATTTTTTTCAGGGGGGAGGGGTACATTTTTGTCCCCCCAATTTTGCTTTGATTTGAAATCCCGTCAAGATAATTAGTCCAAGGTCCACTTTGCAACATTTATTGCCTTTTCCTTGGCTACACGCTTATTTAGGTTCACATTTATCAACTGCACAGGTGATGTTCTGGTTACATTTTAACATTCCAAACAGCGTAACGAGAATGTAAAGTGGCAAGTCAAATGACACTAAAACTGTATGAATTAAAAATCACTCTTTGCATGTTTTAATGTAAATTGGTTTCAGGGTCAAAGTATTACCATCATAAAAGCTTGAACTTGACAGTTGGTGGTGTTTTAAGTAACACTTTAACCTACAACGCAAAGACAAACGCCTCATGCTAAGAAGGGTCATTTTTATGCTAGCATTTAGCTACATGCTAATCTGGTTAGCGACCCCTTCCTGTCCAAATATTTTTGGTTTTACAACGTATGTGTATTCAAACCAAATCTGCCTGAAATGACCTACACAGTCGGAGCACTACTCTATTTTACGTAAGCTGAGCGCACCACCTCATATGACCTATGACCACGATAATCAAACCTCGGGGGGCTGGGAGAATGACTTTTTATCTTCTTGGTCTTCAGGGTGTGCCACCTTGGCACCTGAGTGGGCGGGGTGTGGCGCTTGCTTGTTTTCTGACATTCCAGACTGCAGTTACTCAAACAGGAGAACAAATGAGTGGGATTGAAAATGAATGAGGAGCCGTGTGGGTGGTTATATTTAAAAAAAAAAAAAAAAAATTAAAGAATGGTAGAGTCCAAATGAAAACCAAAGCACAGGAAGTGGATGTATTATTTTTGAAAGAGGTTAGTGAAGTCACTCTGGAAGTATTTGCAGAACCTTCAATGTATCATCAGAGGACTGTTAAAGATGTATCCCCTAAACTCACCAAGTAGCACCCCTGAAAAGTTAGCCCCAACACCATTTTCACTGATTAACACATAATCAGGACAACAGGTAACTGGATAGATGGAAAACTCTCAGGGATGCATGCAGGAAGCTGAACAGGAAGACGGCCATTTTGTTGTAGCAGCCATTTTGGGATGAGTTCCAGTGCTCGAAAGTTGGGGGGAAAAAATAAAAGTAAAAATCAATCCCCAACGACAGTTTCACTGATCGTTGCGAAACGGGGTGGACACCTATCACAGCAGGACACACACAAAAAGTCGCAAGCACCCAAACTGAACAGGAAGTCGGCCATTTTGGTTTGGCTTTGCCATTTCCCCACTTGAGAACTTGCCCAAATGAGCCCCAATCGGAAGCAGGTATCCTACAAAGATGTTTTTTTTTTCTTTCACAAGGAAATAACAGTTGACATCATGTTGTGCTTTAAGATCCATTCAACAACTATAAGCGCCCACATCCATGCACCTCCTCCCTTCATCCTACCCTCCAATAAACATTACACGCAAGCGTCTGACAGCAAAGCAAAGCTCCCCATTTCTCTAAACCGTCTCAGAAATATATATATTTAAATATGTACAGCGACAAATTCACCTTGCTTTATGGGGAAACATCAATAAACTACTGCAAAAGCTAGTCAGTGTTTGCCCATAATTGGCCAATGCAAAAAAAAAAAAAGGGGGGGGCATAGAATTGTTGTATTAGTATCAAAATAAAAGATCGGGTGCATTCCCACGTTAGAGTCATCCTATGGAATCAATGGAGTGGACAGGACGGGTGATTTCCACGTTGTTGTTCCCTCATTCCTGTTGGGACAGAAGCACCGAATGGGTCAAATTGCCTGCTGTAGCACTTTTTGGCCACCATGAGGCGCCAGTTCATTTGAAACTTGCTATCTCGCGGTTCACGTTTGGCAGGTTGATCTGGAAAGTATCCCCAGGGGAGATACATTCCAGACCCACGCGCGAAAAGTGAAAAATGGCACCATCATTTAGACATTTTAAACATATTTAAACAAATAACTGCAACACGATGAGGTCTCAAAACGCAGACACGTAGTGTGTTGCGAATGCTACAGCAGCTCCCTCGCCGCATTCTGTTACATACCCGCTGAAAAACCTCTCCAGTTCGTTCAATGACGACAGTCTTGTCTTCACCGATGGGCGAGCTCGTGGTCCCCTGGTAGTCGTCACCCAGCAGGCCGAGGATCGGGTACTGGGTCCTGTATCTGCAGTGACGTAAAAGGAATCACGTGGTCGGATTTTTGGGACGGATGAACGATCGAGTGGTTGGTTTTTTTCTTTCCCAAATATCGTGGAGCGTACCTTTTGGTGATGATAGTCTTAGTTGTCCTGGAGTTGTCGTTTTTGGTTCTGTCCATCATCAGCTTCCGGATCTCCTGCGGGCAATTCAAAAAGCCGGCGTTTGGGAGCCAGTATACTGACAACTTGGCATCTCGAATCAGGATTTTTTTTTTTTTTTCTTTCCCAAATATCGTGGAGCGTACCTTTTGGTGATGATAGTCTTAGTTGTCCTGGAGTTGTCGTTTTTGGTTCTGTCCATCATCAGCTTCCGGATCTCCTGCGGGCAATTCAAAAAGCCGGCGTTTGGGAGCCAGTATACTGACAACTTGGCATCTCGAATCAGGATTTTTTTTTTTTCTTCTGCAATTCTCAGCAAGTGTGTTTGGTGCAGCCAAATCACATATTCACGACTGATTTGCCAAAGTTCGGATCAAGATAGAAACTAACATTTTTTTCTGGTGCAAAAAAGAGTCTACTCTTTCTTTCGTTTGCTTTTGTTGATGGGGGTGCGTTATTGCCTCAAAAGTTGATTAGAGATGTTCAACACCACTTTGTTCCAGACCGATACCACTACGGTTATTCACTCTTTAAGTACTTACCGATGACCACATTCACTTTTCATGTAGAAAATTTCATTGAACACGATGACGAAAAATTGTGAACAAAGACTTTTCTTGCTGATGGAGAGGATAGTTTGCCAATGTGTCAAACTGCTGCAGTATAGCGCCAGTTACTGCCAATGAACACTTACTTGATTTTCAGCAGCCTCCGCAAACAACATTCTACTTCAAATAAGCCCAGTATCGGACCGATACCGATACCTGATCTTAGATCCCTTAAGTTGGAAATGCTACATGAGCGCGTATGTTGTCACAGACCTCCTCCTGTCTGGTGATGGTGGTCTGCCGCTGCTCCAGCATGGCGAGGAGCTCCGAGATCTTCAGCTGGAGGGTCTTCTCCGATGCGGATGACGTCCTCTCGGTGGTGATCTCCGTCTGGAGCCTCGTAATCTGAGTCTGGAACGAGGGAGAAGCACAAAAACGGGTGAGCTTTCCCTTTCCCAGTATCGCAAAACCGGTATCGATCCTGTGTCGGGTGAACCGTTCACGCACTTGGAATAGCCTGCCTAAGGCATTTTGTTGAATGAGTTAGCATTCAGACATTAGTCCGATTAAATGCTGTGGTTCTGTTGAATATTTTGGTTCTGAAATATACAACATATTCACCCGCAGCCGCTGGATCTCTTGCTCCTTCTCCTGTTTCATGATGCTGAGCTGCTCGTTGAATTGCCGCGACAGCTCCTCGGTCTTGATGTGCAGCGTGCTGCTGTTAGATTGGCCTAATTGCTGCGAGGTGGAGGCGGAAAGATGGAAACAACTTCAGAGACTTTCAGGCTAAAGTGAGAAGGCCTGACCGAAGGCCGGAGCGAAGGTGGCCGGCTACCTTCTGTCGGAGAATTTCGTTCTCCTTCTCCAGAGCCCTGATGCGTCCTTCCAACTCCCGCATCCGGAAGTCGCGGCTCGAGTCGACGTTGCGGGCGCTCATCAGCTGGCTCTCCAAGGCACGCTGGGAGGAGGTGGTCTCCTTCAGAGACACCTGGGCGCACAAGATGGGTAGTCGGCCAGTGAGACCTTTGCGTAACGGCTTGCTAAAGTTCATACGGTCGAGCCTCGCGCCGTTTGAGCCGTCAGAATAGAGAGAATAGATGCCCGTTTTAAGGTTTACATACTCTTCGATTTCACCTCCTTTCATCGAGTAATCAATACAAAAAAAAAA